TCTCGACCTCTGCCGTAAGGGTAGTCTTGCTTTTCAAGTCGAGCATGCATGTTGTTAAACTCAAACGAGTCTCTCTTCTTGCAACTATCTCATTAATACTGATTACGCTGAAAATAATAAAAGCCACAGCAGAGACTAGTGAATTTCAAAAGACTGCATTTATATGACGCAATAAAGTCAAGTATTAAATTTTCATAGACAGAAAATAAAAGTAGCACGGTTATTGCGCGAACGGTGCAAAGAAATAAGCGGAGTGGAACGGAACGGGGTCCTTTAAGTAAGTCTTACTGTTGATACCGTCTGCCTGAAGGGGTACCCATAGGATCAGTCCCATTCAGCGGATTGAACTGCGATGTGCTGTAGGTCGTGTGAGTGAAGGTTCTGGGATCGAAGTTCTGTGTCCAGCCACCTGTTGGTTGCTGTTGGAAACCAGCCCCGGCAGCGGCGTTCCAACCCGACTGGGGATAAGCAATCTGTTGCGCGTTGTAGGCTTGGGGACGCTGATTCGAGGAGCCGAAACCCTCTGCGGGTCGTTCAACCCCATTATACATTAAAGCGGTCAAGGCGGACGGAAAGCCCGTCATTTGGCCGTCCGGCTCTCTGGACCTCTCCCTGTTGCGGACCGGGTAGGCTGGGGTAAAAGGATTGAAGGCGGTTTGAGCTTGAACAGGTATAGCAGTCTGTCCGGTTGCGAAGTTCGACAAGGGAACCCAGCTGGCACTGGCTGACGGTCTGGGTGCTGGCATCTCCGGACGAGTAGCCTGAAACTGGTGATCCAACTGGGTCTCAATGTCATCGTTCTCCTCCGGTATGAAGGCATCCTTCGGTCTGTTTGCGCTGACAGCTGCTCGAAGCAGGGTCAGGTCTCCGGGCTCGGAACCCAGGGGAAAATTGAAAACTTTCTTAACACCACCAGGTCCCGGTTCCTCAGCCACCAGGTACTGCTGGATAGTCTCAACATCGACCATGTTGTCACTTCTTCGAACCATGGCCTCAGAGGCCAGCGCTCCGCAACCCGAGCCCGGACCACAGCTGCAACCCGTCAGGAAACCCGGAACATTTCTCATGACTGTCTGCGACGTCCCCCCTGACGGTTTCGGTGGCTGTGGAAGCGATGGCGGCGGG